CGAAAGCGCTGTAAGGCTTTTATTCTTTTCGGATTTTATTTTTCGTAGTTCACTCCAGTGTAACGAAACATTAGACTTGAGTAACGAACGTACACACATACATATGTAATTAGATATATGTACATATTTGAGTGTCTGACTGCCTTACTGCTTGGTTTGTTGGGTTGGCCGGCTTTAGTGTTTGTGGCTTTCTGACTTTGTGCTTATGCGTGTGTGTGTGTGCCAATATGTGTGTATGTGTGTGTGTTCGCGGCCATTTCGTTGATGGCGTTGATTAGTTGCGCTTCATTCTTCATTCTACTTAGTTCTGCAGGCTAAATTTTTGTTGTGTAATACTCGTAGTGAACGCATACATACATACATAAAAATGCTTAGTAGAAATGAAAGACGAATGAATGTTTGAATAAAACTTTTGCCATTCTGGTGAAGAAGATTGGTGGAGAATAGGAAAATATGACTGGCAGAAATGCAGGGGGATTTTTCAGGGAGACTATATGCGGTATATGAATTTAAAATCAATTAAAATAAGACACAAAAAATAAAAAAATAAAACAAAAAAACTAACAGTAAAATAAAATAAAATAAATAATATCGAATAAAAAACTGAAAAGGCACAAAACTTAAGTAAAAAATATGAATGAAATAAAAAATTGAATTAAGTAAAAAAAATATTAAAACTATTTTGACTTTTTGAAAATCGTAAATGTAAATAAAAATATACAAAATACACAACCATGTTTATATTGGTTATAAAAGTAATGGCATTTTCTTTTCTCGGAAAAATGTCACCTTCAAATATGGCAACATTATTAGCGTGCAACATTTTAAAGAAAGAACAAGCAATATGCCTGCGAAGATGCTGAGAAAAGATCATGAAGACTTGACAGCCCAGGCGCAGGGCAGAATAAATGCATCATTATTTCGAGAAAAGAAAACGCTATAAAATAAAATAATAAATCGAATGCTGGCATAAATGCGTACAAAGCATTCTTATGGAAAAATGCCTTTGGTATATGAATGTAAAATAAAATAACATGAGTTAAAAATGTAAAAAATGGAAAAAATATTAAATCAAATAAAAGAGAGTAAACGGACACAGAAAATTTTGTAACAAAAGTTTTTAAATTAAAAATTAAATTAAGTAAATACATCAAGGCTAATTTGACTTTTTGAAAATCCAAGATGCAAATTGAAAATTTACAATAGGTACACATGATGCACATATCTGCAGTAATGAAAGTAAAATAACACAGTGAATAAATGTAAAAAAAATTTGGCAAACCATACAATTTGCAAAAGCGCCAAATTTTTATTTTATTTCAAAAATTGAAAGATAATAATTAAATCGGAAATTAAAAGATAATAAAACATTTTTTATTTCTTATCGGCGAAAATATTTTTTTCTCTGTTCAAAATAATTTTCTTTCTGACACTCCAGTGCTTGAATGAAATCATTATGAACTGCTAAAATAACCGAACCTATTTGAGTTTAGATTTATTGCGCAAATAATAATAAGCATTCATTTATTTAGCAGGCAAACGATTTATATATGTAGATATAAAGAACAGAAAATCAAAGCACTTTAAGCAATACCCCGACATACGTTGACAATCATTCATTTCGGGCACTCATTCAGCGTCCAAAGCACGCCTTTTTCATAACGAGACAGTAGCCATAGAAATAGCAAATGTATGCATGCAAGCGTGTGGGTGCTGGCAGTCAATCAGCACGTCAAGCAGGCTGGTCGTCGTCGGTCGGTTAATGCGCTTTGAAATTGTTTGAAATTGCATTGTTTCGCTGACAAAGTCATAAACAATTATTCTTACGCTAAATTATGAGATATATTATTTGTGCGAATACATCCGCAGGTATGTATATACCTATGCATACTTCGTTTATAAAGCTATATAAAGAAATATATTGGTTGATGTCCAACAATTTATGGCAAACACACCCCCATGCAGATGAAAAGAATAAAAAACACGAAATAATAATTCAGTAAAATTAAATGAACAAAAAATTACAAAAATAAATACGCATACAAACACAGTTTCCGTGCTTCAGCGTTTTATGGTCGCAAGCCTGTTCAGACATTTGCATGCACATATGCACCCTAGTCTGCAACTGGGTTAGCATGTGGATGTATTCCGAAACTGAATTTCTACAACAACACTCCTACCTAAGTAAACTTTTTATGGCACAAATCCTCTCGCATTCAATGCAAGTGGTAGAGGGTGTGCTTCGATTCGATTTGCGCATTAAATTTTGCTGATTTGTAAGCTTAGTGATATAGAGCAAAATAAGTGAACAGATATTGTATAAAGAATACTTATTTTTTGCCGCTTCTAAGCTTTAAGAAATATGTCAAGTTGTCTTGTTTGTTGTCAAATTGAAAGTGCTTAGCAGCGGCGAGCACGAGTAATCGCAGCTCATTTATTGGTCAACGCTTAACTCACATGTTCTTTTGTACATACACAATGCAAAAATCACTTTTTTCCGTGTTGTTTAGTATGGGTGTGGACCAATTGTTGTTTGCTATTAATTAGTTTAGATGATTTTTATCGCGAGCAAGCGATCGAATTATAATATACTTGTACACATTTAGATATTTGCAATGACTTAATTAAATAAATAAAAGGAATGTAATTATAGAAACACAAAAAATGTGTGTACATAGAGTATAATTGTGTGGTTGGAGAAAAAATAATGTAGCGTTCAAACCCGCTGAATTTTAAAATTTTAAACAAATATTAACATAATTTCATTTATATTTGGAGAGATTTTTTCATTCGTGTTTTTCTTCGCGTCGTGCAAACTTTTTGCAAACAAATCGCTTAAATTAAAGCTGACAAACAAAAGACTTAAATAGCGAACTTGATTTTTTCGTTGGACTCGAAACCAAATAAAGGTATCGATGAAAAATGCTAACGTAATATTAAGGTTTCATCTAATATACCAAAAAGAGGAAATATGAAGAGATATTCACATGAAAAAGGTTACTACTAAAAAAATAATAAGTAAATCTTATGACTCCAGAACAAGGGGGGCTAAAATCAATGGAGAAGTTTAATTGCATATACAGCTTAAATTAAAAGGTCATCATTATTTAGTCAATGACAACCATTGCAGCTAGATCGTTTTTTTTAAACAAAGAAGAGCTCTTTTCCAAAAATTTCATCATTTTTTTCTTTTGGGCAGATTGAGGATATCAAGGAAAACGGTCGATTTTTTTCGATTCTGAATTTTAAGCACCCCGTAGAATATGAAAAAGGCCCTTATCACATCTGGAAAGTGTAGAACTTAATAACAATAATACTTTTTTGCAAGTACATTGTTGAAAAGTTTTTCGGCGATGAAAACATTATTTATTGATAGCCTTGGAGAGGCTAAAAAAATTTTAAAGAAACATTTTAAGCCGTATGAGTAAAAACTAAGCAATTGCTTTTTCTTAAAATTTCAGATCTTTTTTTCGACTAATTTAAATAAATTTAAGTAAGAGGTCTGAAATTTTAAGAAAATCAACTGCTTAGTTTTTATTCATACGGTTGCCGTTGTTTATGAAAAGGGCTTCCAAAATTAACATAGTTTTACAATATATAACTATTGTAAAAATAAAAACTATTTTGACAGTTTAGAGCTTTTGTTGAAAACTGTAAAAACAATTAGCGATGTATGTAGAGACTAATATTTTGGAAAACAATTACTTCAAACGGTTCAATACTTTCGAAAGAACCCATAGCGATGAGATTCAGAACAATGACAAACGCACACAAAGTCGATGAAAATTAGTATGAGGATTTAATCACATATTTTTTCGTTACTTCAAATTAAAATATAAAAAAATGAGGCACATTTTTTATATGAAAATTTAAATTACTTTTTATGGAGCGTACAAAAAACTGGTTGAGCTGCTAACATCTAAAAATATAAATATATTCAATATAAAAAGTTTTTTAATACAGCAAAATAATATAAAAAATGTATTTTAATAATTTCCTGCGCAAGCTTCGTAAAATGTTTAAAATTATTAATAATAATAATAATAGATTGGCGCTTACACATATGTTAGTGTTTTAAATGATCAAAAATAAGGAATACCTTAGTTTAAAGTTTTTCAGATTTATTTAGAAGTAAAAAATATATTCACTGTTTAACTGCTTCTCTAATTCATATAAAATAAAATTCTGTACTAAAGCGGTTTTGTTTTGAAACAGTTCTTCGAAAAAACTCTGGTATATTGAATAGAACCTAAACAAATTTTTTTTTTTTTGATTCAACAAGGGAAATTTTTATTTAAATGGAAATTTATTTTAGGTGCAAACAAAAACAAAAAATGGAAATTTGTTAATTATTTTCCGACTTAAAAAACAGGAAAAAATAAAATTAAATAGAAGACGAATTAAAAACTCTTTTTTCAATGTATTGCCAAGAGTATTTTTGAGTTAAAAGGTTTTTGGTTTGAAATTAAAACAAAGGATTTTATAGTCCTCAAACAAGGTTTATGTTAAAATTGTTTTTATTTTTATTTCAAAGAGAATTTATTTAACACTTTAATATGATCGTAGTTGCATTTCTTCATATATAATTTTTTGACTCTGAAGCCATTGCATCGATATTATATTACAAAAAAAATGTTGATCAATAAGAGCAAATAGACTTGCTTCAATTTTCAAATTAAAGACGTAAGCAACAAAAAATAATAGCAATTGCTTTTCATTCCAAATCTGTGGCTTAACAAAACTAAAAAGGACAGATGCAGACTTTTAAACAAAAGACTTTAGCTGCGAACCTGCCTTTATTTCGCAGCTAGTATTGGCTTGAATATCGCGATCTCCTCATTTCGATATAAAGATTCAAATTATAACCTTTTGTAAATTTTTTTACTTAGAAATCTCCACAACGCAAATCAATCTATTCATACACTGGTTATTCCATGCCCAAACACTTCACAGACATAAAAGGAGATTTCAGAATAATAGTTTCTATGTAAAACACTTACCTTCTGCAGCGTCAGCATCGGCATTATACAATAATTTTTGTTGTTGTTGGCCAAAGTAGTAACGTCGGTGATGGAAACGTTTGCGCGAAAGAGGTGGTGAATTTGGAGTCGTTGTAGCTGTTGTTGTCGATGATGCTGCTGTTGGTGTATCCAACAGATTTACTGGTTCTGTTGCTGTGACGGTGGCATTTTTATTGTCCTCGGCGGTCACTATTACAGCAGGAGCTGTAGTATGTGGAGACGAATCCGGAGGCGCAACCAACTTTAATGCAGACGAGCCACTATCTTGTGGTTCAGGCGTCTTGGGTGGCTGTAACGGCGTTGGTGGTACAAGTGCTGGTGACGATGCTGAGGGAGTTGGTGTGGGCGTTCTCAACGCGTTGTGTATGTTGCGTGTTGCTGCAGTTGGTGGTGTGTATGCGCGCGGTGCATCTGTGGGCACTGGCGGCGAGTTTGGTTTGCCATTGCTGCCTCTGCCGTTGCCACCACCTACTAGCGGCGAGGGGCTCAGTGGCGGTATTAGGCGATCATCTTCGTTTTTATCCTGCAGCAGATTTTGAGATTCCAAGAGTCGTTGTTGCTGCTGATGCAGACGATTTTTTATGAGAAAAATTTTCGGCATTTTGGCGTTAGTTCTTAAGCTTGTATGCCTGCAGTGTTCGCAAATGTTAATCTCGTTTTAATTTTTCAATCAAACGCGTTTTTTGAGCTTGTCGTGTTTAGTCATAGTCACTGCCAGCAAAACACTAATCCAAGTCGTGTGTGTTTGCTGGAGTTAAAAAAGCTACTGGATTCTTCAATACAACTTTTTTTTTTGTTTCCAAAAATAAAGATTTTTTTAATTTGACTGGCTACTCTGTTCACTAGGTTGCACATATTGTTCAAATCGATCGATAGCTTGGCGGCGAGCGAGTGCCATTTTTAACACAACACAATCTTTAACTTAAAAATATATATTCTTCCATGCACTAAACATATATACGAGATTTTTTAATAATTTTAATACTACTTAGAATAATTTTACGCACAGTATGTACGTGTGTATTTTATTGTTTGATTTATTTAATTTTGATAGAAAAGTATATTGTGTTTTGTTTAGTATTAATAGTAAGTGTGTATAATTTATTTACTTTAAAAAATTTTTCGTTTCTTAAAAACTGTTCTGCACTTGTTTGGAATTTTCACAGTAAAACTCTTTCGTTTAGATTCTGGACTTTTAATCCTTTTTATCCTTGCTAGAACCTTATCATTTTCACACAAAAGTAATATTTTTCACTCAGAAGTTGGAACTCTTCACTAAACTACACTTCACTTCATATATCCTCTATCGCATATTTCCTTTTTATCTTTGTTTCTGTGGCATAAGGAAAATTTTGTTATACACTCCAATTGTATTTACAAGTATGTATGTTTGTATTGGCTTTTCTACTTAGAACTTCAGCTAGATCTAAATGATTCACTGTTACATGGGCTTGCAAACGACGAACGCGATTTGGAAGCGCTAAACGCGTGTATCCTCAACGCTTGATCGTCTCTTACTGTATTCCAGCGGTACTCGCGCACAAGCAGTTAGTCCAAAGTCAGCCAGTTAACGTCGTTGCCGTCGTCGTCAATCAGCAGCAGCGGTTCATTCGACACCGCCAACCATAAGCACACACACATCCACTCGTAAGGTATGTATAGAGCCGTCGATCTCCTCTAACAGACGTTGGCCGGTGGAACAACGCGGGGCCAAGGTGGAACGGCTGCACTTTACACAGCCGGTAGTTGGGTATATTGGTTGCTGGTTGCTGGTTGCTGAGCCAGTGATCACTATGCCTCACATAGTTTCGTCGTTTTACCTTTGTTGTGAACACTCAGAAGATGTATGAGTGAGTGCCGTTGTTAGAAGTTCTTAAGGCCGCTTCGTTTTTCATGCTTCGAATAATTTTGTTGCTTTAGTTGAAGAAAAACACTGTATGCCGTTGTGCAGAGGCGTCGTACTTTTGTAGTGTAATACACGAACGGCGATTGTGGCTAGAACTGAGCGCCAAGCGGCCAAACGATCAGAATTCTAAGTCTGATTGCGTGCGTACAGAAGCGAATTGACACTGCAGTATTAAAGAAAAGTGGGAGAGAGAGAGAGAGAGAGAGGCAACAATGAGCAGGTGAACTTGGATCAGGTGAGCGCAGTGCAAGGCAACGAAACCTGCACTTTCGCTCACTCACACATACACATATATTGTTGGGGTGGTTGAGTTCGACTTTGCTTTCGTCGGCAACGGGCTGAGCCTGAGTTTTGCTCTCTCAAGCCGCCGCTCGCCTATACTGCTAACTATGCGCGTGTTTGTGTTTAACGGTTTCGGCATTTTACCTGACTTTACTGTTTATTATGATTGCCGCATGGTTGTTGTTGCACGTAGCATACTAATCTTCACTTGCGCTCGCAAACGCATACTCTCGCAGCACTTGATCAAAATTTCCTCACCTGTTGGCCTATTGTCTTTGTGTATTGGAGATTTCCGTTTTGGAATGCTCACTAATACTCTTGCTTCGAATTCGCTGCGAACAGCGCATCTCTCGCATTCTAACTATTATCCGTATGGTTGTCTTCAATGCATACAGTTACTCAGCTGAACACCGTTTCATTTCGGTGCTCGATACCTGGAGCTCTGGCTCCACTGCAGTTTTTGTCGTTTAACCGCATGTTTTGCCTCATAACTCTTTCCAACCTCCACCTCTTCCCCTTAGAGCTCCTCTTTATAGTTGCTTGCTTAGTTTTTCACATTTGCTTTGGTATCTTGCTTCGTGGCGGCTTGACTTAGACGTGAATTTGGCTTCGGTGGCCGAGCGACAGATCGCGGTCGCGGCTTCACAGTTCAGAGTCAAGGTAGAGGTAATACCAGTACTGCTTTTCTTGTTGTTCTTGTGCATGTTTCATGTTAGGGGTCTTCGTCTTGCTTGCTTATTTTTTTTTTGCTTTTCAAAGCGACTCTATTATTGCCGGCAACTTGGCGTTGTTATGTTTTTCGTCGTCTGCGTCGTTTTGGGTCTCATTGGTTTCGGCTATTATTTCACATAAAATTTCGTTGTACCCCATGTGATTGCAATGTGTTTGTTACTATTGCTCTTGACTCTGAATTTTAGCCATTTGCGGTCTTTCTGGTGCTTAGGTTATTTTGTTGCTTTTTGGGTGTTTCATTTGGCTTATTGCACATTTATTGCTGCAATCTTTTGGAGCTTGCTTTTGGCCAAATTTAAGATACTGTGCAATTTTCTGCACACGTGTGTATGTTTATATGCAACTGCGACTTAAAAAAGCTTTGAGGTTGAAATATGTTTATTTATGCACTTGTATGTGTTAATATGCAAATTTTGTTCAAATGAGCGAGACTTTCGTTGATTTTGAAAAACACTGTTTGGGGAAGCTTGCATAAAATTATCTCATGCTTTTATTACTTTTACTGAATTCCTTATGCAATATTTGAGCAAATGCCTTTTTTCGAGGTGCAAAAAAACTGATTCTTACGAGTTTTAGCCGAGTGTTTCGTATTATTAGTAATGACCGCCATGGAAACATATTTCCCCATAGATTGGCTAGTGGAAGTGCACTAAATACCCACATTTCAGTCAAAATACGTTAAGACTGACGAAAAAGCCCCGCCTGCAGGTTGATTGTTATTCTGGAATAATAAAAGGGGAAAAATAGAGCGTTAGAAATGCGTAAGCGGAGAGGTTTTGTAAGAAAATAAGGTGGCGGTCAAATTATTTCAAGACCGGGAGGATTCCTGCAGAGACGAAGATGAAACTCTGAGGAAAAAAGCGTTAATAGCGTACTTGAGTTTTGCAGGGAACACTTCTCAATACTCTTTTGAATTGCGACACAAGTAGTGTGTCGTCCTGCGAGGCCCACAACGATGGCCGTTTAGAGTGACTGAATAACTCAGTGTGAGGGCAGGACCAGGATGAATGTATTTGCATAAAAATTTATTAAAGCAAAAATGTTTTGGGTAGGCGTCGGAGCCAATGATAACCATTAGTTACCACCTCTGCATGGTTGTAAGTCATGCAGAGTACCTACGGCTTGTAGCGCTGTGGCTTTGCCGCTTAAACTCTGTAAGAGTTTTTGGGGGTGTACGTCAAGCGGAGTATTGAGCACCGGTTATTTATTTAAGTTCAAAAATTGGGTAGGCGCTGTGGCCAATGGTAGCTCTTGTACCACCTCTGTATGCTGAAAGTCATACAGAACCCCAACAGCTTGTAGCGCATTGGCTTTTGCTGTTTAAAACCACTCCGGAGGAGTGGTGATGCATCAAGCGAGATTGTTGAGCATGATTTGGAGTGCCAACAATTAACTACTTTAGTAGGTTTTGTTCTGCGGCAGTTGAGAAGTGCATTAAAAATTGCATACCCAATGAAGAACGAACGAATTATTTTTAAGCACAAGTGCGTGTGTTTATTCGCTGCACTTGGTTTTGGGCGGGAGTGCAATATACAAGTGCGTGTGTGTGTTCGCTGTTCTTTGTTTATGCGGGAAATGCATAAGTCGCTTAAACAGTGACCTTGATCACAACTTAATCTTTGAGACCAAACGAGGTATTCATCATATACAGAATAAGCGCAGCATTCTCTACCTTGGAGAAAGAGTAAAAACAGATTGGCCCAACAGTATCCGGGAACATGAAAAAATACCTACTGGCAAATTATTAACTTCTTCTTCTTCTTATTTGGCACTGTAACCGCCTAAGCGATTTTGGCCGAGTCTCTTCTGTGCCAACTGACGCCAATTGGAAACGCCAAGTGATGCCAAGTCCTTCTCCACCTGATCTTTCCATCGCAGTGGGGCCTCCCTCTTCCTCTGCTACCACCAGCGGGTTCTGAGTTGAATACTNTCTGGACATCTCACTGCTGGTGGTTATATCTATGATGTAGCTTAATCCAGCAATAACGTCGCCAATTATGTTACTCTGGCGATAGTGAAGAATAACTTTTACCAACCGGGACTAATTTAGGCTAGGTAGGCAATTGAAAAGCAGATTCCTCTTTCGCCGAACAATACTCACGCTCCACAAATCTCTCATTACTTATTGGCGCAGACACGTGGACGATGTTCAGATGTTGAACAGAGATGAAAAGGCTTGGGGAATTTCGATTGAACTATTCCACGCAAGATCAGGGAGCAATGGGTACCGAATAAAATGAAATGGTGAATTGAATGAACTTTATAATGACACGAACATTGTTAGGTGCACAAAAATAAAAAGGATCACGCTGAACGAGACATTTCTTCCAGTGAAAAGATTTTTCTACTTTAGAACGAACGCAAGCGTGACCATAAACACAATGAACGTTTCCACGACAGTCGTAACCGGAACGAGCCAGATTCATATCAGGCCAAGGACTGTCATTCAAGAATTATTCCTCAAATCCTTCCCGTGGAATTTTTATCCTGTTACAATAGTAAAATCAAGGAACACAATTAAAGGACCAAGTGCTCAAGGCACTTGGTGGTGGAATATCGTTAACGAGAGACTACGGACGAAGATTTTTAGTCTCGACCGAATGCGATGCCATGCCATACAAGAAGAAGAAGAAAAAACTAGTCCCTGACTTAAAGTGCTTCCGTAGTTGGCGCAGATGTGACAATTGGGTCAGTTAACCTCCGCCCATTTTCTGTTAGTGATGTGTGCCACATGTTTGTAAATAAAAAATACAAAGTAAATAAAACTTTAAAAGTATAAATCGTAAAGTATGTACTTTTTTACCTAAAAAACATAATCGTGGTACAAAGCTGAATAATAATATACGAATAAATGTTAATGAGACACAATAATATTGACAAACAATCGACTTCATTGCTCATAGAAAAATTTAGGAGTGCCGTAAATTTGTTCATGATCCAGTAATCGGAAATAAACCAAATTAGAATGGGATCACCGTTGAGGTACCACCTTTCCTATACAAAAAACGATTTATCCTAGATGGTTCACGTGTTCCGATACATTGATAACTAGACTGCAGATGTTTATGCAGAAAACAGTGCAAAAAATATGTACCTCATAACTGTAAATAAAATGTATTAACTTTCTCTGACCACCAGCCACAGCAATGAAGATTTTCTGATGCCTTTCGGGCATCCTATCAGTCAATATACATTTGAATATTTTCGCTTAGCTTTTGATTATCAACCTGCTTCAAAATGCCTGAAAAGCATACGAAAATCTTTATTGCTATCACTGGTGATCAGAGAAAATATGGAGGCAAATCATTAGTATCTGCAGTATTCTCCCTGCTCCACCCACATTTTCTTCAAATAAGACTTAGCCAAAAGTAAACTGTGAAAGTGAACCAAATTAAATGTTTTTAAGCACGCGAATCTTTACTTGGCTTTCTCGGTTTCTATTAAGGCCCTGGTCTGGCTGAAACCAAGCATCAACACCCGAGTCATTCCGGTACGTAGAACCGGCTGCCATTCGAAGGTCGCGCTTCGTTGGACCAGAAGAAATGCGCGAACTATTTTAGCCGAAAATTAACCCCGCATC